TCAATCTGAATTATGTATCCAACAAATAACAAGTGGACTTACTGCTGTAAAAGTTACTTGAAATCAACCTGCTGACATCTCTGAGTGTCCTTGGCGGCCACAACCCTAAGCACAGCTGGCTGTTGTGCTGAATGTTTAGGGGTGTGGGCTCTGGGGTTGAGCTGCCTGAAGTGAAGTCACACCATTGCTATTTTCTAGCTCTGTGTCTGTATGTAAATTACTGAAGCTCTCTGAGCCTCTTTACCCATCTGTAAAATACAAATAGTTCCTACCTTGTACGTCTGTTGTGTGGATTAAATGAAATAGGGCTTGGAAGGTGCTTGACACTAAGCATTCGGTGACTGTTAGCTGTTATTATACAGTTACTGCTATGAATACCACCCATGCAGAATCTAGTTCCTTTAGTTTTACAGATTCAGAAATTTAATCTTATTATAGGGTGATCTAGCTCAGATGAAACTGTTTCACCCTAGCCAAGCTCATAAGAGGGCAGGAAATCAAATAGCTTATTTAGAATGGGAAATAGTTTCCCAATGCTTTCTATCCCTATTTGCTATTCAAGGCGTGCCCTTCTCAAGAGTGAAATACCTGAAATGCTGTCTGGTGCAGATAGAACAAAGTCTGGGGTGAAGCAATTGGGTGGAATACATTTCCAGACTGTGAAAGAACAGGGATCCCTAATTCACAGGAGCCCTACAGCCACCAGATAAGACATCTTGCATACTAGCTGTTAGCAAGGATAACGTTTGCCTTGCCTGACTCACAAAGAAGTTAGTAAGTAAATATTTGTTAAATAAATGCATTCCTTGGGTAAGGCAGGTTTCACGTCATCTAGTCCTTATTCCTTTCCCCTCCCTGTCTAGATTCTAGGCAAACAGACTCCCTTCTCCTCTGGGCAGGATACCATTCATTGGATCACAGCTTTGCTTATATTAACTGAGTTTTACTCACCCAGATGGAGACAGCGTGATGAATTACAGGAAATACTTCGTTCTCATCAGTAACATGTTGACGCATCTTCTAGTGGTCCTTCCCTACTTCCCACCTATATTCCATAAAACTGTTATTCCCCTGCCTGCTCCAAATGTAACAATGACAATTATTACCTCCCCCCCGCTCCGGGGGAGGGACCTCAGTGACCTCTCTCTGCTGCCTGGAGCCCTGGAAGCCCTGACCCTCTGGACAGAGGTCGAGAGCACACCTTCCTCCGGAAAGGTGATTATCCTATTGGTAGGTTTGTTGTTTTTTGGTTTGTCGGTGTTCTTTTTTTCCCTGCATAAAATTTAGTGTTGCCCTGACAATTTCAGTTTGCAGCTCCTCAGACAACTAGGTGAATGAGGTGGGCAGGTCTACAAATTTGCCTCTGAATTTAGCTCGATTCCCCTCAAAGAATTAAACCCATCTCCTCTGAGCAATTCCCGAGGCAAAGACACTCAGCCAGACGAAAAGGCGGGAGAGCCCGACCATCCCTACCTGTTGAGGTTCAAGGGAATGCTTCCCATGGACCAGCCGCCATGAGCAGGCTGGTTGGTGCGCACTGGGGTGAGACAGAGGGAAGGAAACAGCCACCTCATTTTCCTGCCTTGGAGAAAGTTGGCAGAATTCCGGTTGTTGCCTAACCTGGCTCCATCTCAGAGCCCTCAGGTGAAATGCTTGATCACTTTCCTTTCCCAAAAAGTTTTAAGACATCAGTAGGGAAAGATTCAGAACTCCAATCAAATGGTGCTTTTATCTCCTGCCCACCCCACGGGAATCCTAAGACTTATCTCAGTGACCCACCCGTTCCCCCCAATCATTTGATTCTCTTCCAGCAAAACACTCTCACTGGATATTTCTTTGGAATATCCAAGGAATGGCAGATTCCCTGGAGAGCCTTACAGGACCCGATTTAGCCTCCTCAAGTGAGTTTCAAAAGGGTACTGCCAAGTGTGTGAGCCTTTTCTGTCTCTACATCCTCCCCTGTAATATTTCCACAAGTGGCAACCTGGCATGCCTGCTCTTAGAAGCCAGAAATATGACAAATATTCAGATAAGTCAGTGGAATTTAAAGCACACGTTCGTTGTTTTGCTGGTGAGGACTGAAGTGCATGCTTTTACGCTAGGTGTGCCTCTCCCAAAAGTGCTTAGAGTTCAAATCCAGCACTTCAGGAGATGATGAATTACTATTTGGGGAATGAATTAATGAATCCTATTTTAAGGTACTGTGACATTTTCATGTTTAAAGGAGTATTATGGTAAGTATTAAATGTAAAGAAATTTTTATACCTTAAAAAATTTGTTTTCATGTTTAAGGAGTTTAAAGCAAGGTTAACCTTTAATTTTAAGTTCAACCTTCTTTTTTTTCAGTGTGTAATGTAGCAAAAGAAAGCTTGAGGTTTGGAGTTAGGCCCATTTTTTGAATCCCAGTTCTGGCATATTCTGAAGATAATAATGTATAATTCAAGGCCTTGTGATGATTAAATGAGGGAACTGTGACATTCCTAGCACATGGTGGGGGATGGGAAAGGGAGAGAGGTGGTGTCCTTCCTACTTGGCCACACCATCCATTGTCACTCCAAGGTTTGGGGTCTCTGTAATTCTCAGTATAGAGTTACTCACCGGCCTCTCATTACGGAGACCAGAGGAACGAGAAGTGGCCGTGTACCTCTGCTCAGCCTGGGTTCCTCCCTATTTGCCACGTCCCAACTTAGCCTTCTTATGCTTGGATACTTTTTAAAAATGTGCTTTTCTATATTAAATGCTATCTTGGATCTCATACACCAGTGGAATGGATAGCCTCCCTCACGAAGGCTCTAACAGACCTGAGATGCTTTAAGTGCAACAAAAACTCTTAGCAACTCGTGAAGATTTCCGAGCATCCGAAACTGGCAAGAGTTTTGGGGAAATCACAGGGAAATTTGTTCACCGCATGATTAATCCTGAGTGGACTGGTCCCGGAAAAGCACATGTGGGTTTTCAGCAAGCAGCAGCCTGCAGAATTTCACAAAATAAACGACCTCATGAAGAGGGCTGTGTACGCGTTTTGGATGAAAGTTCAGAGTGAGGGTAGGGCCTGACAAAGGAGGAAAATGCCAGATGTGTGGACAGCAGAGCTCCTTTGAATCCACTAACATCCAAAGAGACAACACATGGGACCAGATTATACAACTGAACCAGGTTATAACACTAGCTGAGGGAAGCCCAGTAGGGAGTAGACTTCTACGAGAAGGATAATAAAATTCATCACTATAATTACCCCCAGCCCAGCTCCCCAACAAGAGCCCACAATGGCTCAGCTCAAAGAAGTTATTCATCCATATTCAAGTTGCCTCACTCATTATGCTCAGACAAAACCTCCTTCTGGGCCTCAAATCCTCGCCAGCAGCCCAGCAACTCTGCATTGATGCACAGCCCCCGGGGAGGGGTCCGGGGATGCTTCTGTCTTTAGCAATGGAGTTGCTAGTTACTAGGGGTGGCTGGTTTTTTTCAGACAAGGTTTACCACTTCTTTTTAGGAGTACCTTTGATATTTGGGACTGTCTTTAAGATAATTATGGCTAATCCTTCCCTGGGAGAAAACAGAGGATGCCGCCCAGCGGCCGTCTTTCTTGGGCAGAGCTGGGATGCGGCTCAGTTTGGGGGCCTCCCACACCTTGCCCCGCTGAGCACAAAATGTTGTCATTTGCATACTGTTTTGCCAAAAAGGAAATGTAACTGAAACGCAGAGCCATGTATATCGCCCTGGAGAGAGAAGTTCCAAAGATAGGACTGCCACGAATAGCTCCCGGCCCTGCAAAGAGAGCGGCTCAGTTTCCCCGAAGCAGACGGCCCGGCAGAGAGTAACAGACCCTATATCACTTCCCTAGGGCTGGGTATAATTGTCTTTGTGTGGAGTCCTCCCTCAAAGCCCTCCCTTCAAGCAGGATTCTACTGGCACCAGGCTTACCTCCATCCTCAATTTGGAAAATGAAAAAGAGTTTAATTTCCTCAACCTCCAACTCCAAAGATCACAAGTTAGCTTACAACGCCTTGGACCAATATTCAGTGAGCAACTACTGTGGTGCCAGATATTGTTTGGCCCTCGGGATCAAGGCGAAGACATAGCTGTGTCCACGGGAGCTTATATTCTACTGTGGAAACGGATTAAAAATAAACACCCAAGAAAAATTAAACACTGACCAATGTGCATGGATGCCACAAACACAGCACACTGAGCCAGGAAGAGGCAAGATGAGAAGATGTAAGAGAAAGAGGAAAAGGGGAGGAAACGATGCAGATCATGGGCAGGCAGAGCTCCCATCATCAGATCCAGTGGAGTGAAGGTCTAGGGAGTCACCAACACTCAGTCATTGGCGCTCCTGGCCAAGTTCGACACATGGCCCCGAAGGAACTTAAACCTCAATGCTCACGATAGTCCTCCACGCACGCAGCACCTTCCACGTCAGTCCTTTCGACACACACTATCCTCTCTACAGAGGATAACGGAGGCCTCTTCCAATGGGTCTCTGCTGGTAGGGTCCTGGGTGTGTCCAGCGTGCCCTCCTACAGGGTATAAGACCTGGCAGCCCCCCAGAGGGAGACAGTCGCAGCACAGGGGAATTCCACCCCCAGCCCCTGGGGCTGAGGCTTCTGAGGCCAAGGGCGGTCCTCCGATACACAGCCCTGTAGGAAAGCCCAGCGCCGCCAGTGGGAGGCTCCTGGCGGCTACCCTTCCACTCTATCTCTCAGGAGCCATCAGGGGGTGGGCCGCCACCGAGGGAGACCCCCTCTGCTCCCCACCTGCTGCCTGTGGATTCGGGGTCTCCTCCTGGCACCCCGCTCAGCTCTTCCTCTGCGACCTGGCACCAGCAAAGCCGCTGTCTCTCGTTCTCGCGGGTCCTCCAGACTCGTGCGCACACATACGCTGCCAGCTCCCCTCTGCTCTCCCGGGCAACCTCAAATACCAGGCCCGGGCATTCCCGCAAGTCCCAGCTCGCTCGTCCCCACCAGCAGCTGCAGGGAGCCCCGCCTGCTGGGTCTTACCTCCTTCTGCCAGGACCCAGAGCGACGCGCGTCCCAAAACGAAGAACAGAACTGGCACCTTCCACATTTTCTTAGTTGACTTGTTCTTTGCGGGGCCGAGCAGCTCGTTTCTGTGCTGGGGGGAGATTATGAAACAGCCAGAGGCCCTCGCTTGCTGGAGCGAGAGACGGGGGGCTGGAAAATGCGGGGAGCAGAAGTCCCAGCGCAGGAGGGGTCCCCGAGTTCCTTCGCCCGCAGCTGCAGCCGGAGGAGCAAACTTTGCAGTTGGGAACTTTCGGATCAGAGTCAGCATTTATCTCTCCCGACGAGGGCGAGGGCGGGGACAGCCCGCGCGGTAAGGTGGTCCCAGTTCGGGGCTCCCTAGGACCGCCCCCCGCCTCTGTTTGGCCAGCGCGAAAACGATGACCTCAGGCCAGGTTTAAAGTTACAGGGCTGCGGCTGCGGGGCGCTGCCGGCACGCGCGGAGGGCCAGAGCCCCGGCAACATAGGCTTTTATTCTGTTCCCCGATAGGAGGGAAAGGGGGCGCAGGCAATAAGCGATTTTTTTTTTTTTTTGGTAATTTTTAAACATCATTATTCTCTTTTTTAAGAGTAAGGCACAGATTAGGTTTTTCTTCTTAGAAGTAAACTGTTCCTTGTGTGGCCAGTCATTTTAGAACCAAGCAAGGGATTGTTCTTGTAAATATTGAATTTGATGGCTTTAAAAAAAGTGGCCGTCTTCCTCTGGGTGGGCCAGAGGCGGTTCGCGCTGGTAAATTGCGCCCTTGTTCAGGGGCCGCGAGCTGGCGGGCTCCCGCGGCGGGGG